CAGCTTTAAAATGCCTTTGGGTTCATTTCGCTAGGGGTATTGGTTCGCGATTTATTTCATTTTGGAGATTTGTTTCTGATTTGGAACACTGTGCGCCGTCGGGGTAAAACATGTTGACCATGAGGAGACCACGAGAAACGCGTAAGCTAATAGAATGGACTGTAGATTACAAAGAGAGAAATCGACACCCTCTCAACGACTCAGCGAGGTACCGCCTTTCTTAGAATTACTTAAATTGAATACAATGAGTGAATCATAAATGAAAGTTGGTAATACAATATAAATATAATATAATTATATGCAAATAACGTGAGTTCAACTAATTTAAATTTAAAGTCTATGAAATTGTTCGATATAATAACCGTAAAACTACTCGATATCGTACACATCGGGAGCTTTTAAGTCTTTTAGAACCGCCATAGCTTATCTACGAGGGAGGGTTAATAAGTCTTTACAAAAAGAAGGAAAAAAAAGTTTTGCGTATGTACTTTTTTTTATTTTTTAACACAATCTCCTTAAAGGTCGATAATTTTATTAAACGGCCTTCCAGTTTTTTTAAGCCATGAGAAAAATATGATTTCTGAAAACCCTCAAAATAGGCATTTGTTTCGGCGATGACTTCTTCATTCGACGTGAATCGTTGTCCTCCGGCAAGCCAGTTTTTGAGGTTGGAAATAAGAAAAAGTCACTGAGAGCCAAATCAAGCGAATATGGTAGATGGTCAATTAATTCGAACTTTATACAGTTAATTTTTGCCATAGAAACTGTATACGTGTGAACTCGAGTATTGTCTTGAATAAAAAGGAATTTTTGTTTGTTCAAGTGAGGACTTTTTTCTCTGATTTTTTCTTTCAGCTAACCTAATAATGACGCATAATATTGTCCAGTGATCGTCTGGCCTTTTTCCAAGTAGTCGATGTAGATGATTCTATACGCATCCCAGAAAACCGTGGCCATAATCTTGCCAGCTGACTTTACTGTCTTTGCCTTCTTAGGGGCTGGTTCTCCTGCTGTAATCCATTGTTTGGACTGTTCTTTGGTTTCAGGAGTGTAGTGGTGTACCCATGTTTCGTCTACAGTTACGAGTCGACACCAAAAGTCTTCCGGATTACGACGTATGCGTGCCAAAAGAGCCTCAGATGTGACCACACAGGTTCGTTTGTTTTCAAGAGTGAGCAAACGCGGCATCCATCTTGCTGATATTTTTTTCATCCCCAATTTTTCATGCAAAATTAAAATGATTGTACCCTTTGATACTCCTGTGGCCTCAACTAATTCTCGCAATTTTAATCTTCTATTAGTCAACACCATATCGTGGATTTTATTGACCATTTCGAGTGTACTCACTTCTATGGGGCGTCCTGAACGAGGTTCATCTTTTGTTGTTGTACGGCCGCGTTTAAATTCATTTACCCAGTTATAAACAGTTTTAAACACAGGGGCAGACTTGCCAGGAACGGCGTTCAACTCAACTGTGATTTCTTTTGGTGTAAGGCCTTTAAAATGAAAATGTTTTATCACCGCTCGAAACTTTGTTTTTTCCATTTTTCAAATAAACCAATAACTTTTTGTTCAACCAACGCTAACAAAAAAACGACTTAATGAATTGAGCTGAAACTTTGTACGATATCTAGTTAGTAGTATTGTTTGCCAAAAACATCATAATTTAAGCGTGACGAGCGCCATCTCTTGAATTTTATAAAGACTTATTACCCCCCCCCCTCGTACTATGATTTCATTGTGAATTTTGTTCTATTTATTTATTCAAATTTCTTTCTTTATATCTTTGTAAGCCGATTATGTCTCGATGAGCGATTAATATCATAAAATTCAGCATCTTCAAATTAATTTTTGACATCACAACATTCTCACTTTGCGTGCGCAATTTTGCGTTAAATCTTGTTTAATGTTTATGTAAATATGCCAAAACAACGTTGCAGAGACATCCCCGGGTGGAGAGGGACCTCTACTGCGAGTATAAATTTGCTCGTCGCTGAGGCAAAAGTAATGATTCTGATTTAATCTTACGTAACAGCGCAAGCACTGTAACGAACGAAATAAAAACTCAGTCATTTCCTAAGATATGTTTCATTATTCAGCGGATAGCTTTGCTATTTTCTTTTCCTCTACATGATTCTCTTAGCTAATCGAAAATCTAACTTATTGTTATTGTAATTCTTTTGATTGTTTTGACTCTAGATTACTTAATACTTTTGAGAGATTATTTTAATGTACAATAATTGCGTAATATGTAACTGTGACGATACACCAAATATTGAATTGAGATAATAATTATGCGAGTATTGGGACTAACAATTATAATAATATCACAAAAAAATTATTATCATGTAATAAACATTATATTATTTCGATAAAGGTTTTCCTAAAGAGGACTACTGTTAGGTAGTCAAATCCTTAAAATATAAATATTAATAGTGGATTAATTATTCTCCTTTTTCTAATTTGTCCGAAAAAATCGTAAAATATTGAAAATTCTAGAAGTTACTTATAATTATCCAATCTGAGAAAGCCAATATGTTTCTATAACCGTCGTGGTCCATGAAAATTACTGAGATGTTTGTACCATAAAAAATATTAGAATAATAGTAATCATTTTAATAATAGTAATAGTTGTAACGGTAATTGATAAAAATATCGATTCATTGAAGATTCGGTTGCACTCGAGGCGCGCGAGCTAGTGATTTGGAGAGAGAGGGGGCGCGCGTGGTAAGTATCGGTAGTACTGATCAGCGATGAGCATTCGATCACCCATCCCAAACTTCTTTTTCTCCTATTCATAACGCATCTAGGTCTGTTGTACACTTGTGGCTATTCTATCATTATACCGCGTCCGAATTTCGCGTTTTAAATTAGTTTTGTTTAAAAGAGGGAAAATCAGAAAATTCTCAATTGTACAATATATAGCTATTGTTTGGTCATCAGCATATCAAATTGATGTTAGCCTCGGGAAGTACTGATTATATATTTTACAATTCGATATGTAGCCTAGTAGTAAGAGTAAAAGTCTAAAGAAAGAAGTATTGTAACAAATATAATTTATAATCTCATACTATTTTTTGAAGAATTAAGAAAAATGTAAGCATATCGTAAGAATAAACATATCATAAATTATCAAATCCTAATTAGTTTATTCTTATTTGAGATCTGTAAATTCATATAGGTCATATGGTAAATTTAGTAAATTATAATTCTTGTTTGAAACATCTTCTTTGTTATAGCTAGAACAGCTGACAATAAACGAGTCAATAAATATAAGATTATTATATCTAGAGCATAATACCGAATTGAAATTTCCAGAGCAAATTGAACAGAATAGAAAGAGTTGACTTCGGTACAAACAGAGTCTATCACTGAAAATGTTTAAAGTAATTGTGAAACAGTGTCAAAGTATGTTTAATTATTAAAATTTTATAGATTGATATTTATTGTTTTTAATTCTTTTTTAATTTAGATATTACAGGTCTGAACCAAATGCTGAAGTGTCAAAGCAGACTGCTGAAGATAACAGCAACAAAGTCAACTCTTTACATTCTGTTCAATTTGCTCTACAAATTTTAATTCAGCATTATGCTTTAGACAATGTATAGCTACAATAAAGAATTTAAAATGTTTCAAACAAGAATTATAATTTACTAAATTTATCATATAACCAATGGACTTACAGAGCTCAAATAAGAATAAACCGATTCAGATTTGACAATTACTGACATGTCTACATTTTTCTTAATTTTTTAAAAAATAGTATGAGAATATAAACTATATTTGTTAAAAAAACCTCTTTCTTTGGACTTTTGCTCTTACTACTAGTCTACATATCGAATTGTACTTGAAAATAAATAATCAGTACTTACCAAGGCTGACATCAACTTATTTCAAACAATAGCTACATATTGTACAATTGAGAATTTTCTTAGTTTCCCTCTTTTAAACCAAAAAACAAACTTGAAACGCGGAATTGGGACACGGTATGATGATAGAACAGCCACAAGTGTACAGCAGACCTAGATGCGTTACGAATAGGAAAAAAAGGATGGGTGACCGAATGCTCATCGCTGGTACTGATAGAACCAGCAAGCGAAACAGGTGTTAGGTTTTTGCAAGGTGTTAGTGAAAAATTCATTTTGAGGCATTGCGAGCATTTTGTGAACGATCAGTGTGCAGTTTTTGGAGCCATCATTGCACCAGGAGCAACCAGCAGCAACTAGCAGCGATACTGGCCAAAAAGCAACCAGTGCGCAGTAGCAACGGCAGTAGCTACACCTTCGTTGACAAGGGGCTTTCAGTTATCTGCCAATACACCTGCGGTCACGGCTGATCACTGTAACCGCAACTTACGGTAGGTGCATCTACCCTAACCGCGACATTCGTACAAAATAGTACCGCGGAGTAGTTAATTGATGCGCGGAATAACCCTTTAAGTACGTCGTGCTGAGCGTTAGTTCGCGTTGTAATTGTATTCTCTCTCGCTCTCTCTCTCTCTCTCTTCCAGGCATTCAATGTAAACCTATACACGCGCGAAAGACTTTCGGCCCGTACTAAACTTGTATAGTCAAGCTCATTAAAAGGATTTAGGTTAAATCACCGTTTTATAATCTTTAAATCCCTGACTACCACTTAATCCAATCCTAGTATTTGAATTGATTTAGTCTAGGGGACTGAGAAAAGTAAACATAAGCTTATTTATACGGTACAAGTAACCAGACCCAGCAATCAAGTGGCTTAAGGTGAGTTCACTATTACGTGTTATTGGAAGATGGAGCGATGTTACAGATCTATAGGTGAAGACACGTATACCCATACGTAGGTAACAGAGTAGAGGTTAGCTCTGCACCGTGGGATTGTACTATCATTTCCTCCTTTTACACGACTAATTCCCCCCCTGTTACACAGTATTAATAATAACGATAATTATAATATGATATTATACGTGTTAATATAATATATATATATATATATTATACATATAATATGTCAAATACCTAAACGCTTGTACAGCAAGCAATTGGTTCATGGCTATTTTGATAGTACAAGTAGGTTTTTCTTCTTCCCAAAGTTTTGGCACACATGTCTCTGGAGTTTGTGATTGTAGCCAGTTACTGAATTCTGTATTATTCTGTATAATATCATTTAGTTTTCTAAATGATTGTAACTTAGAACTTAATCGTACCGCTGCTTCTTGTTGATCTGAACTTAAATTGTGCACAGGAGGGTACCGAATATTAAGAACTCCTTCTTTTCCTCTCAAAAAGAATGTAAATTCATCATCATAAGTTGTTCCCGATCCTGCACCTTTTAGATGAATACGGCAAAGTAGAAGAGCAAATGTAAGCCTATCATTATGTAGCATGCCGCGTGCTACTCTTTCGTAGGACACAGAGAAAAGCTCATTTGTGATGTGCGACAAACGTTGAACATAATCTGTAATTCCAGTTAATTTAGAATTTTTGTTTAAAACGGAAGTAAAAATATCTAAAAACATTTTCAGAGAATATTGATACAGGAAATGTATTTGGTTTAAACTGTCCATTGTAAAATATATATTAGAGCACGCCTGAGATAAAGGTAAATACTGTTGTGATACTGTCTCTATCTCTGCAATTACTTTGTCAGTCTCTTCAACTTTTTTACTTATATCAGCAGCTTCTTGTTTTAGCGTTTCCAGTGTTGTAATAACCGAATCATCATCCAAAATCTTGCCTTTAGCATCATTCAACGCTTGCAGTAATGACTTCTCAAGTTGCCTTAATCGAAGATGGAATTCGCCCTGCAATTTTAGTAAATCAGAACGTTTTTCATCAATATCGGGTCTTTCTGTTTTAAGCACTTGATTCAAACATTGACTTTGTAGTGAACTCCTCGTGACGGTAAAGTTAACAAACGTTACACGTGAACAAATGTCTGGAAGAAATTCAACCGTCGGGTCTCTCGTCGATAGAAAGATAACAAATGATGGTGATAAATCAATGTCTTGATCTCCAAGTGTAATTAACACTCTCCCTCCAGTCCTTCTCAGTTCACGATTAAGCACAGGGTTTAATATAGGATCATAGTTTTCAACATCTTGAACTAATAGAGGATTACCAAACCTCAAAGCACTTTCTAAATTTTTTCTAAAAGAATCATCTAAAAAGCTTGTTTTTGTGATCTTGCGTGCTTTATATTCATTCAATAAAAATTCCGTAGCTTGTCCAGATGGATCTATAATAAGAGGATATCTGTTAAAGCGTTTCAACATGATAGCATTTTCTGTACATAACTCATCAGCTGGTAATGCATTGGCTTGCCATCTTAAACGTTCGTCAGGATTTGATAAATATTCTGTTCTAGCAATATCAGGGCGGAATTGAAGATTTGCACTGTGCAAATGTTGACACCACGTTGAAAACAAATTTTGTCGATACTGTAATGAAGAAAAATATTTATATTTAACATTAACATATAAAATATATATTTATTTCAAAAAAGTTCTATAATTGTTATTTTTATGTAGAAATCAGTGAGGAAAAAATGTAATAAAAGGTCACGCAATGTTAGCTTGGAATCGCTCAATGGAATGATAGCAGAATAAGCGCTACCTTAAAACCGGTTGAGGTTTAGTCAGCGAAGCATTTTTGACTTCGCTTACTCAAAAACAAACGTTTTTCAGCATAACAAGGATAAATTATGAAAAGAAACATGTATGCTTCATTTTCATTTCTTTGTTCTTAGAACATTTTCAACTACTTTTTTCTACTAATGCAAAGTAAGTATCAAATATATATATATATATATATGTATATATATATATTTCTTTTATATAGAAAAAACTTTGTGAAATTAAAAAATTTCCGAATGCGTCACTGCTTCTAGAAGGATTCGTAGAAAGGGTTCCAATACCAAAAAGTTTTTAAGAATATGTCCGAATTATATAGAGTGTCCTAAAAGTTCCAGCATCGCCCAAAAATTCGAATGGAACGTGTTATCAAGAAAACAGTGTTAGAAAACGTTTATAGTTATGACATTATGAATCTGATGATAACCTTGATTTTGACCTCAAAGTTATTTTTCATGGTCATTTCATTTTTTAATGTTTCGTTTTTTGAATGGGAATTCCTAATTTTGACCCTCGATTTGGAATCAGCGAAAAATTTTACTTTCAGATAATCTATCATGTATGGGTTCTGGGAAACCCTACAAGGTAAGTGCTAAGGTCATGCAAATTTCAATGTCAATGTTTTTTGATCAGTCTATCCAAATAATCTTACAATAGTACGTTTTAGCGAAATAATACATTTGTTTCTCACACCTATTACAATCATAAATGATTTGCTCAAATTAATTTTTCGATTTCGATAAATTTTTTTGGTTGTTTTTTTGGATTACGGGCATGGAAAAAATTCTTTTAGCTAAACGATTATATAGACTGGATAGCTTGTTCATTTAGCTTTAAATTGAAAGAAAATAGAGATATTTGTTATATAAGACAATTTGTTTTAGAGATTAAATGAAAACGCCATAGTTTGAATGAAAAAGCATCATTTTGTCTTTGATCATCGATATCTCAGAATCAAATAAGTTTAACAACTTGAACAAATTCTCTATAAAGTTCGGCCATTTATTTTACAATAAAAATATTTTTCATGCTTTACATGAATTTGAAAAAAAAAAAAGAAAAAAGAGCTTCTAGGAGAGTTTTGGAAAAATGTGCATATTACAGTTCAATATACCCACAAAAATCTTCCACAGTTTAAATTAAATGCATTGAGTCGTTTCTTTGTTTTACTCGATTAAATTTTTGAAATAATTGAAAAATAATATTTTGCCTTTAAATATCCGTTATCTGTAAAATAAATTCTCTTTCTAATTTTCTCCAGTTTTTATCGTAAACAGCGTTTAATTATGTGGAGACAATTTTTTTTTCAATTTTTGGAAAAAAATTAAAATAATTTTTTTTTTAATAACTTCATTGAATTAGACAAATTAATTACTGTCGACATTAGCATTACTCAAAGCGTATCACGTGAAGATTACGTGGTGGGATTTTGGCTTCTCTCACAAATCCATGCATGTATGTGTGTGTGCTGAAATGTGATTATTTAGGAGAAATGAGATCCGGCAGCTGGTCAGTTTATCGTATTAATGACTTCAAACTCATTCTATTGAGTGTACGCATGTATATGTGTTTGCGTCTGCCTCTATCCGTTGTTCGCTTGATTGCTTGGTTGTTTGTTCTGATGGCAATTCATGTAATAAATAACAAGTATTGCCATCTCTATTTTCAATAAAGGCTCTCATACGTTCAGTCATATTTCTGCAACGGATAATTTCGTGCTTTGGGATAGTGTTCCAAATATACAGGAGGACGCGTTCTAACGCAGCTAAGTTTAGCAAATTTGGATACTCCCTGCGCAACCGATGGCTCACTATGTCCCAAACATGCTTAATAGGGTTCGAGTTATGTTGTAACTCATGTATTCGTATATAAAACGTTTTCATTATGAAGTACTTGCGGCAACAACGGCTACTCTCTGAAATGAATAAGTCTCTTTCAATAGGAGCTTGTTACCGAGTTTCAAAGGGAACAATAATAATTCCTAATTTGTTTGATCACAAGCAATAATAATCATAAATGGAAACTACTCTTTTCAAAGGTAATTAAACATTTCTTTTTCAATAAGTCGTTTCATCATTGAGCTATACCTAGGATCATTTTTAAATTGTTGTGACAAAAAATGAGATCAATTCTTCACTGCTGAACTGCGGAGTAGTTTCTATGTTGGTGCTTCTTCAATTTTGTATTATTTTGACATTGTAAAACAAGCGGCGCGTCTGCGTTTCTGATACCACATATCTCTTACTACGATTATCGTAGTAAAACAATTAGACAGCGCAATAGCTTCATTTTCTGAACAACGGTTTTATTTTTCTACACAACGTGAAAGCTCAATTGTAGAATTTTCCGACTCTTTATGAATCCGCGATAAAAAGTTCAAGTTCAAGGTCACAACTAGTCACTGAAGTTTAGCAGATTTTTAAAACACTTTGCGCTATATCATAGCAGTATCGAGTCAATTAATAAAAATAGAAGAAACTAAGTTTGAACTTCATATGGCTATGGGTTGATCTTCCCAGATTACGCATGTGACACGTCATTAGAACGTTTAATTTTCCGTTCATTTTGGATTCTAGATCAAATATAGGGGTTCCTATAAAAAAAATCAAGTCAATCTTGAAATCACCTTAAATATTGAGGTCAAAGTAATCGTGATCACCAATTGACTTCCTCTGAATGATACAACTAGTATACGAAACATTTTTCGAATACTTTGTTGAATTTTAAGTTATTTTATTGTCAACGTTAAAATGGAGCACCCTACAAATTTATCATTATTTAAATAATTTATGTTGCTCTAGTTAAAATAAATTATTGAATTTATTCAGTAAAATAAACTCAATCAATTAGCAAAGTATAAACTAAGTATTTATTGAATTAACATCAAATAAAAGTTACATATAATTTGAGTACAAAATAGCGGAGCTCAAGAGTAAAGGCTGTTACTCCTCTGAGAGCATCGAGTGAACTAACTACGTTCGCAGATGCTGCTAGCGTATCCTCTCGCACAGGAAAATCACCAAAAACATTTATTGCTCCATCTGGAGACCATCGGTCATCGGCGTGGTGACGCGCCGCAAGCGTGCAACGAGCAAAAGGTTTTATAGCTCTGCCTAGGCTTTCTCTTAAGCAAACAATCCTAAGGACAGATCTCGAAAATACTATTTGTGCCTTGTGCTCGCATATACATTTTTAACATAAATAAATAAATAAATCATTTTATAATTATAACAAACTATACGAAGTTTAAGAAAACGTAATAAAAACTATCGTAGGAAAGATTGTTCACGAATCATTATTGTGTCAAATAAAAATAGAAAAGTGTTATTCTCCACTAGTTGAAATTACATCGGCTTGTCCTGAATCATACCAGAAACAAAAGTATAAATATATGTCGGCTTTAAATGATATTTGGTATCGATTTCCGACGAAATGCTGTAATTTGATTTGTCTAATTAATCCATTAACGTCCAAAATGTCAAAATTTCTTGCACGTTTTCAAAGTGATTTTTTCCTATGTAATTGGCGTGGAAAAAATTCTTGAACCACATATTCTGATGTAAAATTGCATGCTCTTTCAGAATCCGTTGCCAGAATCATGATAAAACTCACAGGAAAAGAGATATGCTCGATTGAAACATAAAAAACACCTACATTTTCGAAAAAAAAAATTTTTATTACTTTACGAATTTTTATTTTTTCGACTTTATCAATTTTTTTCTCGAAATCTATGGACTTTAGAGAAAAATTCATAAAAACAAAAATGTCTCAGAATCACTCGAGGAACATTCTCAAATTTTTTCAGGATTTTTTGAGACAATTTTTGATTTTCCGGGAAACTTGGGAAATGGGATTTTCAAAAATGTCTCAAAAAATTCTGAAAAAATTTGACAACATTCCTTAAGCGATTCTAAGGCATTTTTGTTCTTATGAATTTTTTTCTAAAGTCCATAGATTTTGAGAAAAAAATTGATGAAGATTGAAAAAAAAAATTCGTTTTTTCCGCCATTTTGTAAAGAAGCGATGGTTCAAGGTAAACAAAAAAATTCCCTGTTAAACTTCAAATCTCATGATCACCTTTGATCACGGTCGCAAGGTGATATCTTCACCGTAACACTTCGAAAAAAAATCCTAAAAATTTTTTTTTTCGAAAATTTAGTTATTTTTTATGTTTCAATCGAGCATATCTCTTTTTCTGTGAGTTTTATCATGATTCTGGCAACGGATTCTGAAAGAGCATGCAATTTTACATCAGAATATGTGGTTCAAGAATTTTTTCAACGCCAATTACATAGGAAAAAATCACTTTGAAAACGTGCAAGAAATTTTGACATTTTGGACGTTAATGGGTTAAGGTCTGAAATACATAAATTTCTCACTCATTTTCTGTACTTTGGTTAAAAATAGTACTGAAAATTTAGTTTTACTCTATGGTTTGTTCTTTCGAAGAAAAGTTTGATTTCGTGTACCTCAGATAAATCATAACTTTTGTACTACAGCACAGTGGGAATTTTCCACCGTTTTTGTGTCAAAATTTCTTCTGCGGGCTCATTTTCACTCAAATTGAGTAATTTAAAAAAAATAATATTATACTTTGTACTTTAAAAGAATGGTGATAAAAATCCAAAATATTTCATTTTTCGAAAACAGCTGTTAATGATAGCGCGCTCTTTTGGGAAAATTGAGTAACCAATTGAAATCAACTTAAATCAATCGAGTCTATCTTCAAATATATTTTATAGTTTTCTAGATGAATAAAGCTTTATATTTTTTCTGAGAAATCAATACATAACCTAAAATTGGATTTT